GAAGGTAGATTCCTTATTTTAGGTTAATGTCAGCTTCTGGCAGCAGATTATGAAAAGACTCATACAGATGAGCCAGTCGGCCATCAAGAACATAACACTCAAAAGAGCTACCATTAATTGGTACTAATATCCACTATGTCATTAAATTCTGATACATTAAACAATACTCTGTTGCTTGCATAGGGTTCGTAATGGATTGAATGCACGCAGAAGCGATGACGGTTTGATAAAATTTATTTTCAAGAAACACTACAGTTCTGGCACTTTCCATAAAATTACTCGTACAGCACTTCTCAGTGTGACAGTGCATCATCAATTGTTACCATTTCAAACTACTAAGAACATTAAACACAACGCAATGCAATGCAAAGTGAAGCTCTCATAGAGATCTCTCAATACTCCGAATTCAACTTTGATTTAAACTGAGAACAGATCCTCTCTCCGGTCTTTCAGTTTTCCACAGGCCGACGAGATACTTCAATACCTGCGATTTCTCGAAACTGCTGATAGGCATATACAGTTACATACATGAATCAAACCAATTACAGTTATACAGAAATCAATCCAAAATGCCACAAGTTTGGCGATTTTGGGCAAATTTTCGCCAAATTTGGCGGCCAATATTAGTCGCCAAGAAACATTGCCAGCTTGGCGCTATCTCGCAAATTTGTCGAGATAGATGGATTCTTTAACCTTATTTTCCCGGCTGAGCTTCGCGTTTTTGAGGCAGAGATGCTAAAATTTTACATATAATTTCACTAAAACTATTCACATATATTCAAAATTCGTAACATTATTGTACAGATGAAGAATTTATTTTTGTTCGTTAATGCCAGTTTCATTGTATGAGCATGGATAGAAGACAGCTAGCAAACAGCGACAGGAGGAAACGAGAAAAGGGAAAGTATGCTTGTATTACTGAACCATACGTGGTTGAGAGAAGGAGAAATACATTTATTTTATATGTTTAACTCTCATGATACTGTAGTGATTAATGTTATTAAAGAAGATAGCATTAAATTTGTATGTTAGCGTACTATAACGCTAACATTTCTAAAAACATTGTTCTAAACATTTCTACAATTTATTAAATCTAATATGAAAGTACTGCCTTTTATACATAGTTCATTGTCATCTCTAAGCCTTCAATAACGCTCTTGGTTTTTCCAATTCTGGTGAAAATGATCCTACTTGCAAAGCTGCTCATCTGTCTTACCATTTCCAGTTTAACTATCACAAATCAGATTTGCCTAAGGTTATAATGTGCTGTTTGGTAGATTATCTTATTTACTTTCAAACCATTTCACGGAAAAACACTATTTCTAAATAACAAGGGAAATCTGCATTTTAATTAAACATTACATATTATAAAATTCAAATCAATAATCGAGTGTATTTGTAACTACAATTGACAGCAATCAAATCAGCAACTATAAGTTAACTTCATATCAAATGATTAAAAAAAATCTTCCTCATATAAATTCAAAGAACTGAAGAATTTACGCGGCAAAATCAAATTTTTCATGGCATAATCAAACTGCTATACAATTTAATATGCAAGCAAAATCAAAAAAGAAAGCATTAATGTAGATAAAGGCTAATATTTTATAAGGAGTTTATATTCCCTTCTTTACAGTAAAATCTATAACAGAATTCGAAAGATTCACAAAATTCATTCTTTAAAATGAAACAAAATTTGCAAAATCACTCAGAAAATCAGAATCTTTTAAAGACAAAATAAAAGGAAACGTGAAACTGCACATCCGTATTAACAACATGATTGCGGTGCAAAATGTTAAAAAAAAAAAGAAGAAAACGTATTGATAGAAAGACTTTCTTATTCGTTATTTTACATTTTTCTGAAAAAGAATTTTTCAATATTTAGGTACATTTTCTACAATTCTATCTATGAAACAAACCTAATTTTTTTCATAATGCAACTATATTTTGATTGAATCTATTTAAAGTCATCTCCAAGAATAAATGAAATAATGAAACCTGATTTTGAGTAAAAATATGTTATATGTTTTAAAAATTCGTTTTTTTTTTTATAATATTAAAAAATGTTCCAAATTTTTTAACTCTACATGTTAAAATAAAAATAGGTTCACTTAAATTTCTAAACATATCTACAAATATCAATGAAAATTACGCATAAGAAAAAAATTATTAAGTACTTAAATGCGATCACATATTTGAAATCTTGTTTCAAGTATCTGTCAAGATTTTTTCCCGAAAGTATAATATAGAGGCTAAAAATTAAAATTTTACTTTAACATAACAACAATAACGTGTAGTTTTCTATAAATAAAATATTTTTAATCCGCAAGACATTTTATTATAATGACAATAATTTAATTAATAAGGAAAATTTTCACGTATTTCGTTATCGAAAAGGTCTTATTCTCCTTAATAGCCTTTCAATAAAAACGAAAATAAAATTTACAAAACTTCACGAAATTTCTTTATATATTTAATTTTTCTTCTCAAACTAGTACGTTTATGCACTGACAACCAAAAATTCAATTTATTCACCTACCATCCGTTAAAAATTACAAGCTTAAATCAGAAAAGCTATATGATAATAATTACTTATACCACTTTACCCAACAGACATGAGATAGACGCGCTTTTAATGTCTTATCTTAACAATGTGCACAAATACGAGCATTTTCTTACACATTTATTATGATAATTGATGGAAATAAAGTTCTTAAGAAACGAGAAAGAGGGAGGGAAAAGAAGGTTACTTTCTTCAATCGAAACAGCACGTTCTGTGCGACTCTTGCCCCGTAAAAAATAGCCTCTTTACTTTAAATTTTCTATTCTCACTCATAATATGCTTAACATCGCCTTAAAGCTCTATGATACTTAACGCGTTATTTTCGAAGGAACGAAATGGATATCAGAAAGCGAAATATCATGGCAAAGGTAAAATAAAGTACTAATAAAATTCAAACGTAAAGGCACATCTATTTAGACACCTCGTAGAAAGTTAAGAAACTTGCACAAAATCTGAAGACAATTCAATTAGAGCTAAACATGCATGCTCAGCTAAACATATACAACATAGAATGGCAACACAACTTCATGAAATTACTGCAACACAAAGAAAACTATTATATACCGAACAAGCCAAAACTAACACAAAGACGTTCACTGTTTACTCAAAACACAACAATAATTCACAACTCATGACGGAGTGTTCGGTTTCATTTCATCAAAAACTATTTCCAGTAATTTTAGAATAGCCGTACCCATTTTCTGATAGTGATCCGAATGTTCCCACTATTTTTTATCGGCACGGTAACTTCCAAGTTCGTAAGCCTGTACATCTACAGATGGGCGAGACCATAAAATTAACAAAAACTCCTTGTTATGTACATAGTCTCATACTTACAAAATAGGTCGGTAAATTATTACGACTACAGTGATGATGGATAAGTGATGATGGCAGATTATCTTATAGTCAAGTTAACTTAGAAAATGATTATTTATATAATTAATTTTCAATTAATATAATTATTATCAATTAATTATTTATATAATATTACATTAATTATATAAATATTAGTTTTTACGTTATTTATAAAGTGATAAAATGTGTTTTTCCATTTTCATATACTTAAGATTTGCTTTGGTAGGTAATTTTAATCATTCCCTTTCTCCTGCTATTTTATGCCAAACAGCATTTGAGCGGTGACTTCTAGAATAACTAATTAACAGTACATCGCATTAATTATCGTTTCAGAATTAAACATCCATAAATACAGTATACTGAGCATAAAATCATATATTAAAATGAGCTGCTCAAAATAGCGATGCCCAACAGTACAGGAGGGTGGAACTTGTAATATCACTCCATCATACATTAACGCCATAATACATATTTAACACAGAAAGGACTCAATTACTCAAGACAGTTATTCAAAGATTATACATAACCCCCCTCCCCCCAATTCGTTCGTCTGCGAGACAGGCTTACTAAAATATGCTCCGCAAACAAAATGGCACAATTAGCTTTCAGGATGGGTAAAATCCGCACCACATTTAACCTCCAATACCAAATATTGAAACCCTATCAAATTAGAAAAGATGGCTCTTCTCAATAAGTCAGGTTATTTAATTACGGCAAAGCCTCAAGGGCTATCTGCGAAAGGGGAGGGATGCTTTCGTGGAAAACGATCTAAGGGAAACTGGCTTGTAAACACATTACACATGGGGAAAACCGCAAAAACGCCCATGCAGACAGCCCGTTCGCGGGATTCGAATATCGGACCGAACTACCAGTGTTCAGCGACTTTACCGCTCGGCCGCTGGTTGGTGGGCCCCCTCAATAAGTTACAATACATATGCTAAAGATCACCAAGTACGCATCACAAATACGTATGCCTTCAATCATACATGCAACAAAAAACTGGTCGTAAAAATTACGCACCTGAGTTTCACGTGCCACAACTCAGAGTTAACAAGAAAGAAGTAAAGAATTATGTTACAAAGAATACACAACAACGGTGAAAAATATTCAGATTCAGACAATATTATGCTTGCTGGAGAAATAAAATATACATAACAGATAAAGCGGTTCCTTATATTATTTATTTACAGTCATATGTCTGCCACTGCTATTCAGTTTGCTGAATAGAAGTAATCCGTTATATGTCACATGTGTGCTGAAATGAAGAACATTTTCTTACATTATTATTCACTCAAAGTATCCTCTAAATTCCTTAGTAAATATAGTTTATCCTAGTACAAATTACATTATTTATACGGAAAACTTCTCCCTCTTCAGACAGAATAATTAACTGATTTTCATTTCATAAATTCATTCAAAAGTCTCATGACTTATAAATTATGAAAAATACCAAGATTCGGTAATTCTAAATACTTTTCTGGTATTTTGTGGGTAACACGTTTTAATTTTTGTTATTTTAAAGTTGTTAAAGTTCATGAAGGCACATATTAATAATGTAAACAGAAAGAGGACGAATACTTACAGAATTATACAATGTTTTTCTTCGGTGATGCTTTTATATTTTCTTTGTCACTGCGTCCAAATCTGAAATAAGATTGGATAAGTAAAATTTCACATCATAAAGATACTTAACATTCAAAGGCATTGTGTATGTATTTACAATTTTGACACACACACAACATATCTGAGCATTACGCACTGAAAATAAGAAATTACTCAACACATACACTTAACATATGATTTTACTAAATCCCATCAACAAAAAGTAAAATAATAAAGATCTACTAGTTAACTGCATTAATAAGAAGCAAAATAATAAAGATTTAGCAGTTAATTGAATTAATAAAAAATACTCCAAAATATTTATTTATAAAAAAATCTGGCAGGGTTCGAATATTAACAATCGCTCACAAGAGTTCTTTTAAAATTTAATATGCTTTATCAGCAAGATTACAGAAAGAGATGACCCAGGCTGAATAGTGAAACATTTTATAGGATATTAGATAAACATGCAATCAGACTATGTTATATATCTTCTGTTTTTATTTAAAAAATGAAAACTCCGTGATGTAATTTTATAAAAATATTCAATGGTTGTAATTGCATGTAGTATGAATTAAATGCATTTCTATTTACATCAATCAGATTAAAAATTTAAGAATACTATTCTGAAGAACTGCATTTTTGCTTTTATATATTCTAATTTCTTCATTAATAACAGACAGATTAAATATGAAAGAATAACATTATAAGTTTCACCGAATAGTCTCTAATGAAATGTGAAACGACGCATTATAAATGAATATTGGTTATAGAATGCAAAATCGTATTTCGAGACTTTAGCCCTTTTAGCTAATAATTAATAAAGATTAAGTAATCAATAAAAAAACAAGAAGAAGAAAAAATCTGAAAGTTTTCAGATATTTGTATTTTTTTCATTTACAGACAGATACACGTTTCAAGAGCATTTAGGCTAACGCAACTTTGGTTTGAAAATTTTTAAAAACAGCATATGTTTAGGATTTCCGATGGACAGTCTCGCGCGCTGGAGATAAAAATGATTTGTTCCCTAGACTTGTTCCCTCTCGTTTTGAAATAGTTGAGTTTTTAATCAAAAATTCGTTAAAGATTTACAAAATATGAAATGGATAATAAAACAAAATCCAAACTCAGGCATCAAAGTGCTCATATTAGGGTGGAGGGCTACGTTATTCAAAATCTGATAGCTCTAGGTACCGTTGCTTTTCACAGTGTGAAAAACATACATACCCTCACGCAGATTCTTTATTATATAATTTCTTTAAATATAATACAGGTTGATAATATTTGGTGGCAACAACTTGAAAAGTGATTTATACTTTTATAGTGATTCAACACAAAATCTTGTTTGGAAAATAACAGTCCTTCTAGGCTAACGCCATTTAGGATACAAATGGGTAGAAATAGAATAAAAGAACTTAATACTAACACTTCTCTCTACCTATCATAAACATATAAATATAATTTATGTGAGGAATGTATAAGCAGAGTAGGAAAACACTTCATACTTAAGATATCATACGACTTAAATGTATTTAGAAAAAGTAAAATAATGAAAGACTTACTGCTGGTTACCTGCATCAATACGAAGTAAAATAATAAATATTTATTAGTTCAAAAACAAAACAAAAAAAAAAAAAAAGTTTTATTTTTCGTCAGTTATCAGATAACAGCTTTGGAGACTATAGATTATGATAACAAATTAAGCGGCCGTCATTTTACGGTACAGAAGGAAAGTACACGTACAGAAGGAAAGTTAATGATTTAATAATACCATTACGTTTATAAAGCTTCTAGCCATTTGAATTTTAATAATAAAGATAAAAGTGATGACATGATTTGGACTTGGTTTAGAACCTGAAAAAGTACAGGAAAAATCATAAATAGCTTTGCTAAATAATTTTATCGTTATTACAGAAAGTAGCTTATATTTGTGCTACAAATTGCACATCATATAACGTGAATCTATGTACTTAAATAAGAAAATTAAATGATTAATGTAAAGAACTATTAAATTAAATATGTCAAAATCAACTAGAGAAAAAGTATTTACGAAGGAAGAATAATTTAAAGAAAATACTCTATTTTGTTCAACTTTTACGAATGGCGTAGTTTTTATCGCGTTTTTTAATGAGCAAAACTGATAAACCTTTTTAATTCTCTACAAGCGGGAATTTCTGTTAAGAATTTAAAAATATTAATAAATTAAATTAAAAATAATAAGAATGCCACCTTTCTATTTGAGAGATCTAATGGCATCTTCTTCATTACTGGAAAATGTTTTAATTATTTCGGACTATTGCTATTATTGAAAAATACATCTAAACGTATCACTACTACTCAACCTTTCTTCAGTATTCATTTTAGCATGAGGATTTCAAGTAAAAAATGCTTCATACATTTGTAAGAACATAAACACTGATGCAGGTTTTTTTTCTTCAGTAGCATATACGCTGTTCATAAGCAGTAATTCAGTTACCAATATGGGATACTTAGAAATCATTGCCCAATTGTAAACGTTATTAACTTTTGCTATATAAATACTAAAAAAAAAAAAAAAAAAACACCATACGTAAGTTTTATTTCTGAAGTTTTACTGTAAAATGCTCATATTTCTAACGTTCAGTATGAGTACAGTATTTCGCGTCACATGTGAAAACAACTTTCGAACACGATGAAAATATTCCTCAATTCTGCAATAATTCTTGTCGATTTCTTCTATAATTCGGACTCTTAAAAGGATTTTCATGCTGCTTTTGACAATAAATGATAATATTTTTTAAATAAAGCCATAAAATTCAATCGTGCGAGTGAGGGGTCAAGTCAGGTACGCATCTCAAGGAAACGAAATGGCGAAGTTATTCGATTACACATTCAACAATGAAGAGAAAAGCCACTTAGATTCAAAATGTAAAGAAAATTATATAAATAAAACTTTTATAAGCTAAAAAACTGTAAACATATATGAAGTACCAGCAATGCTAAACGATAGAAAAATTATTTGTTTCTTTGCTGATTGAGATTTGTGCTTTATAATATGAATTTTGAGACAGCTTTCTACAGTCTGATAAAAAAAAAACAGGTAAGACATGTTTCAAACTTCTTACTAATCCAAATCTAAAACTATCCGTAAGGGCTGGATGTTTAATTAAGTTGCTTTAAGTTCTTCCATTGGTATTAATACGAACAAAAAAATGAAACTGAATCGTTGAATACCTGAAAAGTTTTATAACCAATAAAATGGAAGGAATAATAATAAGATTACTGTGTTTGTTTATGAAAAGAAGAATGTCGTCTTTTATGGCGCGAAGAAACACTTGGAAGAAGTTTCATCAATAAAAAATAAATAAATGATGGTCGAAGTTTCTTTCCTTTCCAAGTTCTCGCAAGAGAAATATTACCCAGGAGATAGCACGAAAAGGCTGCCTCTAAACGTGCCTTATTTATTATTACTAAAGTACGTTTTCATTTTTTTCATGTTTTCCAACTTTATCATCATCTATATGCATTTCATTCTTCTAACATCAAAAAGGTGAATCCCCACAAAATTTTACGGCGGTTATGCTACACTATGCTATCGGCATTTACCATCTGTTCGCCGTGAAAATTACTGTTACTGCGAGGTCTTTGTCTTCCAAAAAGCTTAAGGATATTTCTAAAGAACTACCATTAAACAAAGTATAAAATTTATATTTTCTTTTTCCCCCTTCTACTAACATTATCTACTACTGATTAATAATCTCAACAATTCAAAAAGATATTGTTACGAATTTTGAACACATATAAATAATTTCAATCAAATTATATGTAAAATTTTAGTATCTTCTGTATAATGTAACATGAAATTCCTCAATTCGAAGCTCTGCCGAAAAAATTAGATTACAGGGGCAAGTCCCTTTAACATTGAGGTAAGTGGCTATTTTGCTAAATTAGAGAGATATCGCCAAGATGGCGATGGTTTTGACGACTAATGTCTGTCCCAAATTTTTGGTGACCATTTGAAAGACATTTTGGTTCGGTTCCTTTATTGGTACAGTAATTGAATTTTAATTGGTACAGTAATTGAATAATTGTAATTGATCCTTACATACAACTGTAACGGTATATGCAATTTTAACCGTACGAAATTATTTTTCTCTCAAACAAAATTGTCCTATTTCTAGTTGCCTTTCCTTCGCATCTAAGCTTGATATTTCGCCCTGTGTGCAGAAAGACTTTGCAGGTGCAAAACAAGGTAGCTGTCTGCTCTTGTATATGCCTGCCAGTAATTTGAAGAAATGGAAGGCACTAGAGATTTCTCGGCGGCCAGGCAAAAACTATATGAGCACAGAGACAACAGCAGTTTTTAGTTCAGAACTGAAGTCGAATTATTGAGAGATCTCAGTACGAGCTTCGCTCTTTGGATGCTCTTTGCAATGTGTTGTGTTTAACATTATTAGCAGTTTGAAGCTGTAACTACTGATTGTGCTTCGCCCTGCTGAGAAGATCTGTTCGAGTACTTTAGTGGAATGTTTCAGAACTGTAGGCTATTTTTTTTGGAAAAATAAATTTTATCAAGCTGACAAATGGTTCTGTGTGCATTCAATCGATCAAGAACCCGTATGCACACCGTAATATAAATGCCGTTCTAATTAAAAAAAAATATTTGATTTAAAATATATCCCTTTGATATCTTCCATGAATATTTGCAGCGTTGTTGTAATAAAAAAAAATTAATGCAATATATGAAGTGAAGGATTTATTATTTAAATTCATTTTGTAACAGTAGGAACCAACTTACGATTTTGCTACCTTAAAATATTTGCCTTCTACTATATTTCATTAAGACTTTAGTGCACACAGTGTATATAGAACAAAAAAAAAAAAAAAAAAAAAAAAAAAAAAAAAAGTCAAAATGGTCACGCAGCCATCGTGTTAAGCTAGTTAATAAATCTCTTTCGAAAGCATTACGAATGTTGGCTTTAGCCGCTTAACTATCACAGCACATACTCTACAGAAAAATACTGAAAACAAGCCCAGCACATAACACTCTGCAAAGAAAAAAA